GCTTCGGGAAAATTCCGGCCAAGGTGCTTCAGAAGTTCGAGGTGGACGCGGAGAGCGGGACAATGACGCTGCGGGAGGCGCTGGACTTCGAGGACACGCGAGCCTTCATCCTGGCCGTGGAGGCGCGAGACGGGGGCGGTCTGGTGGCTCACTGCAAGGTGGAGGTGGAGGTGCTGGACGTGAACGACAACGCGCCCGAGATCACGGTGTTGTCGGTGTCGAGCCCGGTGCCCGAGGACGCGCCCGCCGGCACCGTGGTGGCCCTGCTGAACGTGAACGATCCGGACTCCGGGGAGAACGGTCAGGTGTGGTGCGAGCTGTCGGGCGAGGCGCCGCTGTCGATCGTGGCGTCGTCGGGCGGCTCGTACAAGGTGGTGACGGCGAGCGCGCTGGACCGTGAGCAGGCGTCCGAGCACCGCGTGACGGTGGTGGCCAGGGACCGGGGCAGCCCGCCGCTGTGGAGCCGCGCGTCGCTGGTGCTGGAGGTGTCGGACGTGAACGACAACGCGCCGGTGTTCGAGGAGGCGGCCTACAGCGCGTACGTGGCGGAGAACAACGCGGCGGGCGCGTCGGTGGTGCGCGTGCAGGCGCGGGACGCGGACGCGGGCGCCAACGGCCGCGTGAGCTACTGGCTGGCGGGCGGCAGCGCGGGCGCGGCGGCGTACGTGTCGGTGGAGGCGCGGAGCGGCGCGGTGTACGCGCAGCGCTCCTTCGACTACGAGCAGTGCCGCGAGTTCTCGGTGGCGGTGCGGGCGCAGGACGGCGGGGCGCCGGCGCGGAGCTCCACGGCCACGGTGCGCGTCTTCGTGCTGGACCGCAACGACAACGCGCCGCGCGTGCTCTGGCCGGCGCCGGGAGACGCGGCGGCGGCGTCGGGGGCGTCGGGATCGTCGTCGCCGTCGGGGCCGTTCGAGGTGGTGCCGCGCTCTGCCGAGGCCGGGTACCTGGTGGCCAAGGTGGTGGCGGTGGACGCGGACGCGGGGCGCAACGCGTGGCTGTCGTACGAGCTGGTGCAGGCGTCGGAGGCGGCGCTGTTCCGCGTGGGGCTGCACAGCGGCGAGGTGCGGACGGCGCGGGCCGTGTCGGAGAGGGACGCGGCGAAGCAGCGGCTGGTGGCCGTGGTGAAGGACCACGGGCAGCCGGCGCTGTCGGCCACGGCCACGCTGCACGTGGTGCTGGCCGAGAGCTTGCAGGAGGCGCTGCCGGAGCTGAGCGAGCGGGCGGCGGGCGCCGACTCGCCGGCCGAGCTGCAGTTCTACCTGGTGCTGGCGCTGGCGCTCCTCTCCGCCCTCTTCCTGCTCAGCGTGGCGCTGGCCGTGCTGGCGCGGCTGCGCCGGGCCGGGCCGCCCGCCGTCCTGCGCTGCCTGGGCGCGCAGCGCTTCTCCGTGGCCGGCGCCGCCTTCCCGGCCGACTTCTGCGAGGGCACCTTGCCCTACTCCTACAACCTGTGCGTGGCGCCGGGACGCGCCCTCGCCCAGCCCGCTTGGCCCTCGCCGCCGCCTCTGCCCGTCGTGCCCGCGGAGGATCTGCTGGGCGCGGAGCCCTGCGGGAAGCCGAGCCCGAGCATCAGCGCCGGCGCGGGAGAGCCGCCCGCCGACCCCGACGCCCCGCAGGTCTGTAAGCCCGCGCGCTCTCCCTCTTTTCCCTGAGCTGTGCTCAACCTCCCTCTCGATTGCCCTGGGTTTTCGCCGGTTGTTGTGGATGGGGAGTGATGGCCCGTGTGTGCATGAATGGATGTAGGATTGGGGTAATATTTTTCCATTCAGAACGGGCTTTTTGCCGCGAACTCCTTGGCTGTATCGGTTGTCAGTAGGTCTGGTTCACCGGAGAGGTTTTGACTCCGACTATTTTGTTGCCTAAAATCGTTAAGTTAGTAATAGTTAAGGCGAATCACTACTGTGTCGAATGAGATCCGCTGACACTGCATGAGCGCTTCGGAAGTAGTACTTGCAGTTGGAGTCATTTCCTTTCTGATCAACCTTTTCTGCAAACTGTGTTCTTGGACCTGCTTGATGGACAGTCTCGACCTCGTTGCTTAATGTTTTTTCGCTATTGGACTCTCAAAGGAAAGGCGTGTGTGCAGCTCCATGGCTGGAAAAGAGAAAGATTCCTCGTCCCTAGTGAGAGAAGAGAGTGTCGCTTATCATTTTGGGAAATGCTGTTAAAGCCATGGCAGAAATGGTAGCAGCAGTGGGACGGGTTTACTTTGTGTGTCTGTGGAGCGCTGATCCGTGTCTTCGTAAAGGTATGAGCGGGGTACTCCCCTTCCATTCACAGCAGAAATCAATCGGAGGCACTTCCTTGTTCTTCGGTGGTCAGAGGTTCTAGCTCAGGTGCGAGGTTTTGACTACAACTGTTGAATGACTTATTAACGATGAATGAGGTAAACTAATGATGCTGAATGCCAGAGTCGGGAAAATGTGGTGGACTCCCGTTATTGGTAATTTTTCCTTCCGATCGCTTTTTCTGAAACTGATGAACTTGGACCTGGCTGATCGCTCGATGCAATGCTGTTTAAAAAAAAAAAAAATTGATTAATGCTGTTTCAAAAAAACCAAACCAACAACGACAAAAAACCCAACCCAAAACAAATAAACCCCTTGTTATTCCCTCGTAAATGTTACGGGGGGAGGCTGCTGCAGAAACGGCAGCCTTAATAGGATGGATAAATTTTACCTAGGCATGATTTTTACGACTTCTCTATCTGTTGTTGTTGTTGTTGTTCCATCCTGGGTTGTTCTCTCTTTTAAAAATTCTTTTCCGTTCCTGATCTGTCTGTCATACGCAGGTGAATGTCTAGAACGGGATCTCAAGAATAGGCGTTTAGTGGTTTAGAGCCTGCCTTCTGTTCTTCTCCCCTTTTCCCCAAACGATGTCCTTGGGTCTGGTTGATCGCTTTGACAGGGGAAGACTAGACTGAGGAATTGGGTCTCTCAGACACTTTATGAAACAGTTCTTGTTTCTGCCTCTAACAAGGGACGGGATCTACCCTTTCTAAGATCGTAGGTAAAGCGTCAGTGAAATATTAAAAGTGACAGCAATTAGACACCTGAATAAAGTCTATTTGCATATTTACGAATGGTCCGTTAGTGTGGGGTCTTCTGCTGTCCTACAGTATTTGATTGGTAAAGTGTCCCATCAACAGGAAATTCAAGAATGAGATGAGTTCGTATATAATAAGCATCAATCCATTATACCGTGGAAAAAAAAAAAAAAAAAAAAAACAAACCCTAACGTTTCTGCACTTTGTTTAATTAATATCTAGTTTTCCAGGACAGGGTGCTCTGAATATCACGTTTTCCATTGCACAGGCTATTGTATTTTGCTGTCCTTGTACCAGCCATTCAAGCATCACTGCCATAAAAATTCCTGATTCGGATAGTGTTTTTGAACGAATGGGATGAGAACTGTAATAATCCACCGTTCATATTACGTAAACACTTTACTTTACATGTACCGCCATTAACAAGTGAATTTTTCTGTGCAGTAGAAATGAATTTAAAGAAAAGAACGGTCAATGCAGGGAATCACCGATGTCCAGTTCAGGGTGGATCATCATTTTTGCTTTTTTCTATTTGTCGGAATGTGGGAAAATAATGAGGTTGTGTGACGATATTTTCATGTAGAGAAATCTAGAGAAAGGGTGAAGGAAAGGAATTTAAAGCAAGACTGCTACAAAAAATTGTGGAATTCGTGATGCAGATTGTGCTGTTGGATTAATGGGATAAACCCTTGATATTCTACATGTCATATTAAGAAACCTACTTCATGGAGTCTGTTACCATTACAAAATCATGTTTCCCTTGCGGTAGAAATACCGCAATCCCGGGAAGCCTCTGCCTTTCTCCTGGTCGTGATCGCCTCGAGGATCAAAGGAGAGATGGGTTGGACGAAAAGCATCGGAGGAGATTCTAGTGGCTGGGGAAGCGCTGTCTCCGTGGCGAGTGTCCCGTCGGCGCGAGGTGCCCGTGGGAAAGGCGGGCGGGCAGCGGCGGGCAGCGCTCGGTGGCTGCAGTGCCGGGAGGAGGCTGCGGGCGCCGCTGTTGACCGAGGAGGAGCGAGAGGAAGGCCGGAGCGCTGCAGGCAGCCCCGCCCGCTGCGGCCCGGCTCGATCGCTCGCCCGATCGCTGGCTGGCTGGTTTGCTGGGCGGGCGAGCGTCCTGCGATCGTCCCCGCGGTGCGGAGCCGCGTCCTGTTGGCGGCGTGGGAGGAGGTGTGGGGTCAGCTGCGCTACTCGATTCCCGAGGAGATGCCGAAGGGCTCGTTCGTGGGCGACGTGGCCAAGGACCTGGGAATTGAGCTCACGGCGCTCCAAGACGGCGGCATCCGCCTTGTCTCCGAAGGTAGGACGCAGTATTTCTCTCTGCACGGGAAGACGGGACATTTAGTGACGGCGGAGAGGATAGACAGAGAGCAGCTGTGCCGGCTGGTGGAGAAATGCGTGCTGCGCTGTGAGGTGATCGTGGAGGTGGAAATGACGGTTTATGATATAGAAGTGGAAATCACGGATATTAACGACAA